TGTGTTGGAATGTGGTGAGCAGAACAGTGCTTCACCGATTAAATATGAAACAGTTTCACAGGCAGTTTCTCCACGGTCACCACAGTTTTCAAGACACTTTCAGAGCAAACCAAACATTGGCATTTGCACATACTATTAGGTTGTCAAAGGTTAAGCAAACATGTCTGCTACACAAGGAAGAAAAGAAGGCCTACATTGGCAGCTCTTCATCAGTACAGCTGTCATCCATGAGGCCGAGAGACATAGATGATTTTGATGCAAAATTGGAAGTTTTCATGTTTTCAGCACCTAAACCACTGAGAACGTCCATTGCTTTGGTCCATACAGAAAAAACAGCAAATCCAAACAGACATAGCATATAGAGAGAGTGGGATAAACTGGTATTATTTCTAATTTGTTCAAGCATTTGTAAATACCCGATCAACAATGTGCTAATTAACTATTATATTAATGGCCATTTGCGATATTGTTCATTTCTACAGTTTTGAACATGAGTTGAGTCTGTGAACATGCATCTTGTGAAAATCTGCACAGACTCTTACAGCTTCTGTTTTTCCTAAGAGGTTTCACATTGGAAAATCTTCTTTTGTTAAGCTGTATCTTCAGACTAACCAGACAAAGATACTACACATCTACATTTGATTCTGCACCACCTTCTTCCCCCAGTGCATTAAGTGCATACATACTATACATATCTAAAATATATTATTAATTACATTATACCGCCATAAAAAAGGCACTACATTCAGCAAAACTTCAAATCAAATTCATATTCATTCCAAAGTACCCCTAGTCTTATAGTAAATGTTATCTATACTTTAACAAACTTTATGTAAAAAAAAGAAGTCACAGTGATAAATTGGAAAATAAATATGGGAAAATGCTAACTTTATTACCATCTCTAGAATGATTAAGGTGAGAGAAAAATGCATCCTGGCTGTATATTTGAACAATTCTCATAATTTCCCTGCAGACATTATAGTTCTAGCAGTCTTTTTAATGGAGATTCAAAACCGAGGGAGTTTTTAAAGAAAAACTAAAAAAGGAGTTCAATTCTAATTTTACAAAGGAAAAAAAAAAAGGAAAGCTCTTGGCCCACTCCAAAAACAATCCAGACGAGAAAACATGTCTTCCTAGACAGGACTAAGTTAACCTCCTGCTGTTTTCATCTCAATGATAACATTAACTCCCATCAGCCCAAGACACAGTAAAACCTTAAGAACCTGCAGACTATTCTGTGCTCCACAAACATGGTAACGTGGATCCAGTCATATGCTATAGCTCTCAGCCAGTGTCAATGAGTGGCATAGCCTGAAACTGAACCACCAACTCCAGGCTGCACTTGTCTTGCATTCCAGACAGACACTGAGTCTCTTAGGAACCTTGACAGACAAATAAACCACAATTGCTTCACAATTACTATCTGGAAGGTAAAAAGCTTTCCATTTTAATATAATGCAAGTCCCTGAAGACAGACCACAAGACTTAGAAGATTTATAGGTATATGGAACTACAAAAGTGCAGTGTTAATAAAACAAGTTAATGTAATAGTTTGAGAAAAGGCATGTTTTTTTAGTTTTTTTTTCCATTTTCTGTTCTGTACCACTAATTGAGAGCATTCTATTCCCTCTATACACGTGCTTCACTTGAGGAAAGGTAAATTGTTCCCAGGCAGCAATCTGCATGTTTTCTGCGAAGACTCAGCAAACTTAAATGCCCAGCTGCTAGCTCCAACTAGTCTGTGCCAGGGTCATGATTGAGACTCTTGACCGCCAGTGCCAAAAATCACAACAGCTGGAATGCGTGGACTGAAACAAGATTTTTTTTTTACTTAAATCCTTACTGAGTGACCATAAAAGGCTGAGAGAATTGTTCAAAGACCGTGAAAAAATGTTCATGTTACCTTTAGGTACTAGAAACAGCACAGAACATGACCTTGATGCAGAATACTTTCTAACATGACAGTTTAATTCCCAATTTAACCCATTTTCAAAACACATACAGAAGCAGAACAGATTGCATTTACAAATTATTTTCTCACAGCAAAGTGTTTGCTAAAATGAATGATAAAAGGCATCTCTGAATGAAGATTTGGACCGTTTATCTGAATTATTTTTGCAGAAGAGACAACAACATCGTAGGAAACAAACAATGTAGCTTTATCTCAAATAGAATTTCAGTTGGTTTTACTGGTATCTGAAAAAGTTGCATTTACTTGTATTTCGCTAGCATATAATATTATAGTAAAACAACCTCTGCTAATATATATAATAGTACCATTAGATTTACTAAGGTGGACTTAAGCTACATGGAATTCAGATTAGGTGATTCATTTAGTATAGTCTGATTAATACTTAAAAGTACTTAAGGTAGCCTGGAGCTAAAATGTACAGCATCTTGAATGTAAGAAGCTTAAACTCCTCTCTAAATTATACAGGCAGACAGTGCAAAATACACAGGTCAGGGGTTACAAAATTCATTGCTGACTAATTTGCAATTATAAATGCAGTTGTGCTTATTTAAATGTTTGTAAAAGGCACAAACACATCCTCTCTTTCCTCAATGGCATAGGGCATTAATACTTTATCTTTTATTACCTTAACCTGTCTCATTTACCTTCTAAGAGCACAAGGCTTCAGAGCACATTATGGAATCAGCTTCTCTGTCACAGGCACCTGTGTCTGGGCTGTATGATGCTTAAGCTTAACAGCTAACTCACTTTTGGGGTCTCCATTCTTTAAGAGCATACAGCATGCTCCATTCACAGTTACACAAAACGAAAAGAAACCTAATTGAAAGACAAACATGTAAATACACTCTTAGGACTGCATCTTCGTATCTTTGTGCCAAAATCTATGGATGCCATATTTCAAATGTAAAGCAAAACTCAATGACTGAAACCATGCTTGTTTGTGAGTCACACTGCAGTCAGAGCCTGCTGTCCAACCATTGCCTCAGGAGAACATAATAACTATAAGAGCCTTGTAGCCACAACAAACAAACTCAATAAGTCAAAAGACTGGTCTTCTGACACAAGGGATGTGAATGATTTTGAGAACCACTCACACTGACATCGCTATAACACTTCATTGTGTTTGGTATGTCCTACTGTAGTGATACTAGACCTTTTAATAACCAGATGCAAGAAGATCACTTAGGTTTCGTAAAAATTACGATATTCAAAAGATGTAGCAAAACATAATCTTCACTAGAAGCCTAATGACAGGGTTTGGCTGGGAATTGTAGAGGTCAAAGGGCCTACACAGGGCTGAATTCTCTCCCCGCTGGCTGCTGAGACTGAAAATGTGCACTGATTGGGAATTTGTCCATTACTATCCATTCCAATACATGTTTGAGTTTGAAGAACATTGTTGGTTATCATTTGCTCTGACTAAAATTCATACATCTGAATCTGCGATGTATGCCTTGTGACTGACTGCGATAAAGACATCATCAGAATTTGGGTGACTGAGACTGTGGAGTGGCGAAAGGCTGCCATGTCTTGTTATCAGGTGCTATGTTAACACGTCCACTTATTTACACCACCTCCCCACCCAAGGTCCCTTTAAATGGAAGGCCATTGCAAGGAGATTGAATTAATGGTTTAACACAATCAATTGTATGGGTTTTTAAATGAAAATAATCACCCAGAATTAGTAGAGATGGACAAAGTAAAGAAGCAAACAAATCTCAATTTTAAAGTCAGTATTTTGTCACCTGGCATGCAGTTTAGTCTTTTTCGACTAGCTTTTTACGAATGTGTTTTTGGAGATATTCACAAAGTCCACAAAGAATTCTAAAACCAAAAACTGTACAGTTTAATTCTTCTATTTTATACATTATTACAAAACCTGGGGGAAACGATTAAATGATTTTAGCCAGCCCCGCAGGAATGCAAAGAGCTCTTCCTGTACAATAACAGATGTATGTCTGACTCGCTGATAATCTTTTTCTCCCATGAACAGGAGAAAGAATACCATGCCCTGTTCAGTCATCAAACAGGAACCAAGCAGTAAGACAGCATGTCTTTGGGGGGTGGCAGGATACCGGAGCACCCAAAGGAACACATGAAAATGGGGTGAACGTGCAAACTCTAGATAAAAGATGCCCCAGCCTAAAATCAAACACAGGGCTTGTGCTTGTTGCAAATCCACTGTATCACCATAAGAGTTAATGACATTTGCGGGTTTTGCTTTTCTTTTTCTGCAGAACAGGTCTGATTTATTAGGCACCACCTAATCTTCACCCACCACCACCTAATCTCCAGCACCACCCTATCTCCATCTACTGATAAAACCTTATTACGAACCCTTTCACTTCTGAATGCTGACTGCATTCTCTGTGGTTTCACATAGAAACTATACCACAGTGAAGCTGAAAGCATAGATGCTACATTTCTAGCAGAAGGTCGCCACCTTCTGGAAGATCTGTAAAAACAGCAAACAACAGGTAAGCAGATTTTTCTTATAGTTTAATACCAGATCAGAAATCGGACAGGAATCGATTTCCCATTGTGAGCAATAGAGTAAATAATTTAAAATCCTAGGGCTTATCTTTAAATTAAAATAAAATGATCATGAATTCTTCTTAAAAATAAAAGCACAGCTGGAATAGGGAATGACAGTATACTCACATAAAGGGAAAAAATCTGCTGCTGTTTTCTTCCCTTATCTAAGTGTTTTAAATTTAGTTACACAGTATTTTCATCTTTTGTCATTCAAACCTTGTATTCTATCCATACAAAATACAAGGCATGAAGGCCTAGGTCATTTTAAGCATCTCTATAAAGATATGGCTGAAGAGTGCTTAAAGTGCAGGTAATGTTCACACTTTCTCATTGATGTTTTTGTTTAACTGAGCTTTTAGAGAATAACCGTAATCATGAAGGGCAGCACAAGACGATTCAGACGTCTTCAAACATACAGTGTGATGCTTATTTGGTTAAATAAGAAGGCCACACTCTATCATGAATACAAAATGAAGGAAACAACCAAGCAACAAAGAGGAGACAATATTTTGTTTATATGTCAGCAGTGGCACACCAAGAGACAGAATTATTTCTTGTGCTGAATCTTCCTCCTGCAGTCATAGCGCTGACCTTTCCTGACTGCTCTCTCTACCACTATCTGTGCAGTACTCCTTCAGGCATGCATGAAGCACAGTGGACACCAGCAAGAACAAGAGCATGCAGACTCTGAGCCCTGCAGTGACTATAATTACGAAAACGTGGTCTGCTGTGTTTATCACTACCCTCATCAGGTTCAATGGGACTGCCACCAGCCGTAGCTGAAAAATACCCTGTTCGAAGACAAGGAGAAAGGGGGGGAGAGTTGGGGTGAGTTAAAATGTGACCTCTTTTTCTGCATCCTTAAAAAAAACACTTTATAAGATGGCAATAGGTTTTTGTTCAATATATAACACCTTGCTGAAAAAATCAAATGTAGTGGAGCTGAATGTATAAATCCAACACTATTAACATTCAATAACTCTGCATAGTGATACAAAGATTCATATTAAACTAGACAGGTACATTGCTGCAATAAAGGAACAAATGACAATACTAGTTCAGTCCTAGCACAGTACAGAAAGCATGACTTCTCTAAGGTACAACAGCTCAAAACTAGTTCTTTTGGTAACTGTAAAAGTCTACTGATAATATCCCTCACCTTTTCTTTCAGTATAATCATACACATTCGTCCTGTCATGCTTGTGAGTTTCCATATCACCAGTATTAAAACGGCAGCTACAATGATCACCCTCTGTAGCAGATTGTGCCAGCAGGTTTTCAGAGGCACCAAGGGGCTTGTTATCTTGTGAAAGACTGTACGGTACAGTAGGGGACCAGTTGCCCATACAACAAGCCACATGACCTTCAGCACGGACTTCGCAACAGCAAACAAAGATGGCTGCATTCAAATAGTAACAAGAAAATGAAAAAAATATATATTAATAACATCCACATCGGAAGTGTCAGCAAAATATGCCAGTTCTGTAATTATAATCATACTTTTAAGGGTGGAGTAAAGTGTGTCATAGATAATAATTGGAATCTTGTAGATGATGAAAGGGAAATGGTCAATGCATTAACACAATTGCGGTCGGGTGATTATCAAGGAAGAAAATAACAGCAAGTTCTACATCATATTACCTTAGAGGAGACAGAAGGTTTACAAGACTCACTCCAAAATGTACTTCCTTCCCAAATTGCATGCTTTATAGTCAGGCAGAACAAACAAGGAAACAAACCCTAGACACAGCATTACTTCATACTTCAAGACTTACATCTGGTAAGATCCTGCCACCTTGAGGCGATTCTTCATTATTGGAGCTGCAAGGCTTGGGCCAGCCCTGCCTGGGCACAGGGAGAGGAGGAGTGGCTGGGTGAGACTCACACCAGCAGAAGACAGGTGACTTCTGGTTACTGGGTGGACCCACAAGGCCTTGTGCCCACTGGCAGACCCTGTCTCCATACTGCTCTGTCTTTCTGATCACATTGCTGTAGAGGACCTCTCTGCTGCTGAGAATCTGTGCGGAACCACAGAAAGTCAAACAGGCTGGAATACATGACATGCTGTAGAATATAGGATGAAAGGGAAAAAAAAACTGAGAATTTCCTAAAGTAATTCGAATCATGGCTTTCATCCACAATAAAGCACCGTGTCTTTGTTTCAACAAAACCTACTGGCGTTTTCATAGATTTTAAAGAATAAAATATTAGGGAAATGAGGGATATTTTATCAAAAACACAAAGGAACTGGTTTATGATTGATAATATAGCAATTATAACTGAAGAAAGGGTAAAAACCAAGAAAAGGAAAATATTAGGCAAACCTAAATGAAGAAAAAGGAAAAATACATGAAGACATTGCACAATAATTAAGCAAGCAAAGCACTGAATTTTAATCTTTCTTGATCAGTCGAGTTTCACTGTGCACATAATATGAATATTTAACTTCAAAACTAGACAGCTCCCCGGAAATTGAACCCAGGGCTGCAGAACTGTGAGAACTGATGCTAACCACTGCACCACCCTGCCACCCAGATCCCTCATTTTAGAGTTTGTATATGTTGTGTTTGCATGGCTCATCTTATGACAGCTGCATAGAAATAAATTGGTTTACAAATGAAGGTCATTCCCATAAAATGGCTGAATTTGTATATTTGGAGCAAAACATATCAGTCATAAAAGTGCCCTAAATGTAATCCCTCTTAACTGTCAATTATATAATTGCAACTACTCAGTCGGCGTGATTTGCGGTTTTTAAAGGTCTCACCAGAGAGACTATGTTGATTAGCTGGGTGGCGAGGCTCATTAGGGTGGGCGGGGGTCTCGGCTCGCTCTCCATGTCTTTCACCCGCAAAATGAGCTCCGCAGTCCCAGCCAGACCCGCAGCTCTCCGGCACCCTTACGTCATGCCAACGTGCGGAATCGGCTGTTGTTTGATGTGCTGCTTGTAACACTGAAATCGTGTCGTCACAAAGAGGAAAATGTCAGACAAATATTTTGTGTAAGATATTTTACTCTCCATACACAATATTTGTTAGCAAATCAAGGAGTGAGCATTGGTAGTAATCGGTAGAATATAGGCGTCTGAGTCTGAGTAAAGTACCAGTAAAGTTTTAGATGGCTTTATGGTAACTGTCTCGTATTTCTTACACATTTTTGCGATTAAGTTGATTTTTTAAATGTATTTTGATGTTCCATTTGCGGCTCTAAGAAAATATCCTCTTTTGAATGATTTATGGGTGTGTAAAAGTACTCGTGTCTGCACTGCCATTCTTAGCAATGCACCTATCAACCTACCCATGTTTCCAGGAAGCTGATTTGCAGCAACCCGGAACCTCTCTCTAAAGCACAGAGTGCAAGGAGGGACTACACACGCAAGTGCATTACTGAAGACACACTGGGACACAATTTAGAGACTCCACTGAGTCGAACCCAGGACCCAAGAGTACCAGAGCTGTGTTAGGCGGCAATAGCGCTACCTTCCACGTCAACGTGCACCGCTTAAATAAACCCACTGCTCACAAAATCCTGGACTCAGATTTACAAAACACGCCGTCTTCACGTCGTTTCGAGGATAGCCTAGCAGAGAACGATTCGTCGCCTTTTGGGGAACTAAACACTTTCTTCTTTCGACTGCCTGGGATATGACATTGTAACAAGAAAGCTATTCTCCATACGGTTGAATATCAAGCACGTAGCCTCAGCATTGTTATTAGCGGCATAAACTCTGCTGTCGTAATTAACAAGGTGACTGAAACTCGTATAATTCCGGTGTTTTACAGGTTTTGTCGGGGGGGGAGTCCTTCTTTCTTCCTATGGGCACACTATTGCGTCTTTCTTCTATGCAAACTACCTTTAGTATATATACATGAATATATCTTTCTTGCAATATCATATCCTAATATTATCAGTTATCTAATAAAAGCCTAACACGTGCTGTTTCGCAGTTGTAAAAGGACACTACAGTTCTCTTATGTGAACATATTTTACATTACGTGATCAAGGCTGCAAGATGCAGCAAACATTTGGTGCATGTTCCAGTGTTATTTGTGCAATTATGGTGAATAATATAAAAAGACTGAAATCTGCTTACTCCGTTTTCTTCAAAGCCGTCCCATCGTGCTGCACCTATATGTTTTCTTGGTCAATTAAGCAGCAGAATTGGAAGATATGAGAGAAGTTCATAAATTGGTCCAGTTTTGTCAATGATTGGGCTTATTTAGTTTGTTAGGAGCTGAGGTAGTATGAAACCTAGTATATGCTGTACCATGGCCCTCCAAGAACAGAATGGGACAGCCCTGCTTCTAAGTGTCACTATATACCATAAATACTTACTGTAATTACCCCCCTGCGACATTATAATCCCAATTTAACTACTCCTTCAACAAAGATATACCTTGCAGTTAGTATGAATTCAGAACATGTAGGGACTAAGCAGCACAACATTTTCCAGACTACCATGATATATTTCAGGTGAAGTCAACCCTGGAACTATTCCAGTGCATGCTTTTGCTTCAGCAATTTCTTAATAATCAATGTTTCTTCAGCACTTGACTTAATTAAGCAATTAATGATCTGTTCAGTTATCAGTTTATTATAACGTTCCACATCTGTAAGTGGCATGGAATGGAAGTGGTCGACAAGCTGTGTTTCCGGTATTCGTGATTTCCACAGCTCACGAGAGACTTCATTTTCTGTTTCTAGGACTGAAAAAGATGAGCATGGCTGAGGCTGGCAGAACATTTTCGGAAGTGAAGGATGTAATACTTTCTGCTCATAAAGAATCGACTGTGGAGGATAAAATTGGTTTCTATAATAACTGGGCAGAAAACTATGAGCAGGTACACCATGTTCCACAGTCTTTCATGAAGTACAACACAGTTTTGAGACACCACATACTTTTCCTGTGCATTGAAGGAGTCTGGTAACTATTGCCTGATTAATGACATGTTACCCATAGATCCTTTCTATTTCTGTTTTTTTTTTATTCATTTATTTATACTTAACATTGTCTTTTCACCAGTACCTGCACAGGCAGCTGTGAATAAGAGCTGTGAAGAAGATGTATAAGGTATTAAAGGAAGATACCCCAAAAGGTCAGCCAGCCCTCAGCCTGTTGTCTTCCCTACAGCCTGAGCAGTCAGAATGAGGGATGTCCTCAAAAACATTTGTATTTTAAGACCTCTGTAAGATTGCTCAGTTTGTGTTTTCTGATGCAGTTTGTAATTGGCCATCTGTGTTTCCAAAATGCAAAACCAAGCTGTTTTAAAACAATGTGTCAATTAACAAAGTGAAGAGAACAGAAAAGTAATGCTTTTTTTCATTTGAATATAGTGGTGGAAATTATGTGCAGGAACAAATCTTGCCTTTTAGTAAAATTCTATAAAGAAAAACTGGTGCATCACTTCTTTTGAAAGTCCTTATTTCCCTTGTATGTGATGTGCATTTTCAGGATGTTGCGATACTGGATTACAGGGCTCCCTCCCTGGCTGCAGAGTGTCTGTCTGCTGCATTCCAGGCAGACAGAGGGAAAGCACTGGTTCTGGATGTAGCCTGTGGTACTGGCCTGGTTTCCACCTTGGTAAGAAACTCTGGGCATTACTGCATGAGGCAGGAAGAGACTGGAACTTTCCCTTTACTTCTAAAATGCATGTCGTCCTCGAAGCAGTGGCCAACAAACTGCCGAAAAACACATTTGAAAGCTTAAAATGTTCTGAAGGAACTTCCATTCAATATTCAATAGTTTAAGAGGTCTTTCCATGTAAGAAAAGCCCTCAATAAACATTGCAAGTGAGAGGGACAGGAAAGTTGCTCATTGGGGTCTGCAAGTAAAATGTTTTGCCAGTAGAATTGAGATAGGAGGTGTTTTTCAATCATCGCTTTGCTATGTCAAGTTTTTTTTTTTAATGACAGGTGTGTGAAGTAATACAAATGTTTGTCTTTTTTAATTAGGTTGGCTGTGCATGAAATGTCTCTATTAGCCTGTGCTTGTAGTTGCAGAAAAAGGGGTTTCAGAACTTCGCTGGGGTGGATGGCAGTGAGAAGATGCTACAACTGGCCAAGAGCAAAGGCCTGTTCCAGGACCTCAAGCAGTGGATTCTGGGATCTGCACCACTCCCAGTTCCAGCTGGTATCTACTGTATAGAACGTATCTCACTTCCTTAATCACACACGTACACAGATACTAATAGAGATTAGTCTGTTTACTGCTCTGGCTGCATAGCGTTAAAAGTACAAGGGGGGGTTATCTATGATATCTATTTAAAGTGCTTTGGGATTCTTTAAAAAAAAGCATATGCTATATAAACCAGTAATCCTCAGTTCAAACTATCACTTAAAATATAGGATAGGATCCACTTCATCCTCCATTGAAGAGCAGGACCCAACTGAGTGACGCCCGTGAGCCATTAAGTGACAGCAGTCCCACTACAGAGTAGCTCACGTGGAGAATTGAATTAATCACATGCTAAATTGTGCAAGAGCAAAGTGGAATTTGACTTCAAGTCACCTCTTGCCACACAGTGCCCCAAGGTGGCCAGCAACACCACTTCCATCAGCAGCAACCTGGATTTAATTAGAGCACTCACATCCCAGTACCTGCTTAGCTTCTGAGATCTGGTGAGATCAAGCTACATTATGATAAAAGTGACGGAAAAGAAAACGTACCCCCAACCTACTGAAGACCTTCGTGATAATGTGCCTGCTTGCAGATGAAAGAGCGGCTGTGCTGTGTTTGATTGGAGATAAATGACTCAGTGTTTTCTTTTTGGTTTAGAGTCCTATGATGCTGTTGTCATTGTTGGGGCTCTAGGTGTTGGACATGTGCCTCTCTCAGTCGTCAAAGAACTGTGGCAAGCTGCAAAGCCAGGTGTGTTGGTTGTAAAGCAAAGGGGGTAGTTATTGTACAATTGGCATTACCTTGTCCAACTGAATAAAATATTAATAATAAGTTCAACCATCTGTATTTCTCCTATTATTACAATAAATCACCTTGACAGCTTAAGATACAAAAAGGATACAGAGGTGTAAACACTTATTCATGGTAATAAATGTGGGAGAAGGGAACACTAAAGTGGGGGCGGAGGAACAAGGTTTTTCTCTTCTTGAAATATACATTTGCGGTCAAAAAGGTAACTAAAGACCTTGCAGTAAAGACCCTCACTCAGACTGCAAGCTGGGCCCCATGATCTGATTGAGTTTGTTGGTTGCTAATTCCCCAGCCGTCCCACCCATACAAGTCTGGTGTCGGCCTGAGGGCTTGAGAGGGTGGCAAACAGAAAAAATACTCAGCGACAGCAAAATGAAGAAAGATAATGTGAGCACCCTTTCTCAACCCTTTCTCAATGCTTGTAACGAAAACCGAATTTCATTGCAGGTGGTTATGTGTGCATGACGACAAGGGGCAACACATCCAATAAGGAGTTCAAAGCCCAGCTCGAGTGTCTGCTGAAGGAGATGGAGAGAGAGGGACTGTGGGTCTGTGTGTCAGTCACAGAAGTGGAAGACTGGGAGAAGGCTGTGTCTGCCGATGAAACAGGCTACATACCTGGGTCTGTGTATCTGTACAGAAAGAGTACGCAATAAACACATCTCTGTTGAGATTCACAGTTCACACTGCCAGCAAATTAAGAGAATGGTATCACTCGTGGATATTGTTATGGCTTGGGGTGAATGTGCCTTTCTTTTTTCATGTGTTACTTTAAATATCTCAAGAGGATTACATTTCCATCTCAAATCTGTGAAAAGCATTTTGTTTTTAATACACAAAGCAAATCTGAAGTGTGAAGAAAGCCAGAATTGTAATTAAAAAACAATTGTTCCCACAAAGACAGGCTGTAAAGGTTTATATAAAATATCCCAAGGTGTGTTAACAGTTGTGTATAAATAGCAATGACTTCATCTTATACATGCAGTTATATTGCAGTATTTATTCCCTATTTGCTTCTACACTGAAATCCAATCCAATATCAAAGTCAAATACATTGACATTGTCTAGTTCCCAAGTAGCACAAGATTCTTTAATTGCGCAAACAAATGTTTGTCAATGGTGTCAATGACAGAGATGGACACAGCATTGCATTACACAAGGTTTATTTTCAAAAGTAAAGGTGCTTACAGACATTTTGCAAAGAAAGAAGAAACCTTACATTTGTATTAACTAGTATCTCTCCACTAATAACATGCATTAAAATATCACTGAGATTGGTAACAATCAGGTTATTCAAATTGAAAGCACACAAGACTAAAGACATAGTAAGCAGATTTATCCCAATAAGCCCATACCTGTCAACAAATAGATCTCTCCCTCTTGGTTTCCCAGTTCTACTCTACTGAAGCAAATATGCAAAAAACGCTAGTAAAGGAAATCTCTCCTCCTGCTCTCTTGTCTGCTTCTCTCTCTTTCTAAAGTCCTCTTGCCATGTAATCAGTGTGGCAGGCATCAATCTCCACAGACTGAATTACCGACTGTTTGCAGAGACACAAGGTGTGTAGAAGTAACAGCACTGGAAGAAGAGCAGACCTGGAGCAGACCCACAGAAAGAAAGGGGAAAGGAAAGCAAAAGACAGAACACCCACTCCTGACTTGCCACGGTAAAGAAATTTTCATTTCCACACAGTCGCAGCTCTGTGCTTATCCTCATTACACTGAAAAAAGGGAGCACTAGGATGATCAAGAACAGATTGTCGCAGGTGTTCAGTATTCGGTTCCTTTTGTTCAGTTGGAGAACACCTGCTGCAGAAGACAGTGCCACCACTGACCAGCTGAAGCCACCCAGCCAATACAGAGGGCTACTGTCAGATCTCTCCTCAAAGACACAAAGTGATTTAAGCCCTTTGTTGTGTTATGTGCTGTCCAGGGTACAGGAACAAGCACTACTATTCCTGCCAGGATGAAAAGAGCTCCGAAGATTGTTTTTATCTGTACATTTCCCAAGCTTAATCATGGCCTCTATGCATTGGTTTCATCACTCTTTTCTCCTCTCCACTGATAGCTGAATTGTGTTGAGTGGAATTATTAGAATTACTAAAATGACGTAGATCAAAATGGAGAAAACCCCTGTGCCAAAATTCCCAGACAGGTCCAGGAGGGACACGTAAAAGCTACACTGCAGTCTGCCTTTCACTGTGATGTTCTCAGTCCATCCACATATCAACCCAGTACCCCTGGAGCTCCCCAGTGTTGTAGTCAATGACACCAGTTGCTCTTCACGTAGGCAAGCACCTAGTCAGGGTGGCAGCAATGCAACCCTTTGATTGTTGATCTCCAAAAAGCTCAGCACAAATGCAGCAATCTCCATCATGCTCTTCTCCATGTTTGGGAATGAGCTCCCATGAGTGAAGCTGGGTAACAAGACAACAGGAGAGTTAACCTGTATTGTCAAATTCCTTTACAAGGTGTGGATAGCATGATAGCAGACTTGCTTCATAATTGTGCCCCCAAAGCAATCAATTGCTAATGTTATTTTTTGTATCCCTTAAGAAGGAAATAATCCTACCTTCTGTCTTGCTATCTGGGGGGCACTATGTACAGTGAAGATCATGTGTTGCCAAAGGGTAACGGATAGGTTTATAAAAATATATACAGTCTCAAACTACTGTTATTGTTAATGTAAGGACCCATCTTTATAAACAAATCGGATACACCTGTTTCTACATCCATAACTATATTCCTTTCCTTTGTATTATGATATCTCTTAAGTGATATGGTAAATAGTGCATTATGCAGGACTGATTATAGCAATGACACTGTTTTTCATGCTGAAATTAATCACTTTTCCATTTCTCCCGTGATGGATCTATAGTATTTGTTGATCTCCTTTGTTACTGTTTGAGATGCACACAACTTTCTATAGAAAACAATAATTTTGTCATGCTTTACAAACCTTTACCTAATTGATTGTCCTTTTAAATACTGTAGATAAAGCTCGATATGCGAATGACATTGAACTTGTTTTAGCAGCTACAGGCAAAAAAGTGGTAAAAAGGATCATTTTCAATTATATAACACAATACAAGGAGTTCTATATTAAAGTTAATACAAACAGTCTACATTTATCAAACTCCAGAAATAATAAGATCATAAAGATATTAAAATACCAACATAATCTCCATTTATTACAGACTGTCTTATCTCCATGTTTCTCATTTTAAAAACAATTCAAAATCAAAGATTTAAATAAAGAAAATCTAGGTAGTGTACATAGCATGAAGACTAGGAGATACATAATGGGTGTAAGGAGTAAATAATATTTTTCTACAAATATAGTCTCATAGCTAAAACAGAGTTACGCAATGTCTAATATAGTTAGAATCATGTTCTCCTACAAAGAAATTGGCTTCAAAACTCTTGTGTCACAATAGTTCTTGACCTGAGGATGTGTGAAAATGTACCAGACATTTGGCTGCGAATAATGAAAGTACAGTTTGTTTTGCAAGCACATGAGAATCAGGAAATGCATGAAATGTTTTGATATCCCTGGAGTCATAGTTCCTCTGGCTCCTCTGCTACTTGAGTAAGACTGCCCTCCATGCAAACCATCTGTCTGCCTTCAGTTTACACATAGTTCTTCATGGCATAGCTGCTGTGGGTGGTGGACTTGGCAGGTGTGTACCTCATGGGGTAGGACTTCTCCTCAGGAGGGCAGTTGCTACAAAGAACAGCCCCACCTAGAAGCAGGAAACCTGCAGTTCCCCACCCAATGTAGAGAGCAGCACCCAGCTCCCTCTTCAGTGCTTCAGGGACAAGGGGATTGTAGAAATCGTGGATGATGGAGTTGGCCGTCCAACAGATGGGGACTAAGGTGGTGACACCTGAAAGAAGAAAGGTAACTCCAGAAGCCAGCACCATGCGGGCTTTGATCCGGGGGTTGTCCAGACAGTTGGTGCATTGAGCTCCCATCAGGAAGATCAAGAATCCAAGACAGGCCAGCACAATGGTGATGACCACCAAGCCTCTGGCTGCCTGCAGATCAGGGGACAAATCCAACAGGGCATCATAGATCTTGCACTGCATTTGGCCTGTGGTCTCGTAGACACAGTTCATCCACAGGCCCTCCCAGAAGACCTGAGCCACCACGATGTTGTTTCCTATGAAAGCTGTCACCCTCCACATTGGCAGGGCACAGATCAATATGGTGCCCGCCAGCCCAATCATACACATTGATATGCCCAGAATCTGGAAAGCCATAGCTTCTACAGTGGCAGGAATCTAACTGAAAAAAAGGATAAAAGACAAGAATTATTCTATTGACAGTGCCTTCATGCATACTCGAGTTTTGTTTTTGTAGGTCTAGAGGAGTTCATCACAAGGCAGAGGTCCTGTTTCTTTAACTTCTGTTGGTTTTAAAATTGTTACACAATGTGCTTACATACAGTATAAATAATTAAGTCCAGAGGGGATGTTTGCAGGGTGTTGTTAGTTTATTTCTGGCCTATTTCTGATTGTTGGATGATGACCTCCAATGTAAGGCATGCTGCTAATTGAAAATTGATTGCTGATCAATTACTTTAGCAGCTCAACAATTCTACTTCACACGAAAACAGCCTGGGAAAGCGCTAAACATTTTTTTCCTAGCCCTCCAATACAGTGCTCAAAATTGTTTTTCCTCAATTATTAACAGACATTCCCAGCATGCTTATTAAAACCTTTCCAAGAAGCACATAGAGCTAAGGTTAAGTAGTGTGCCAACAATTGTGCAACACAGTTGGCTTCAGCCAAAGTGTTAACCAATGTGAACTGTTTAGCCTCTGTTTTAATAAGAAAATATGCACAGCACCACTAGGGAGCACTGTCATACAGTAATTTCATTACATTAGAGCAGCTGTGGGATCAGATTTTCAACAGCTGATGGCGCTTCATTAACATTGCCAACCTGAAAATCTTTCTCTTCTCTTTTAATGCAAAACTTTCAAACTAGATTTTCACCACCATTTGTACTGACTTTAGGAAATGTCCACCGTCATTGCATATTCCTAAGTGAAGAACATTCAAAATATTGAAACAAAAATGTTCTTATTATGAACGAAGAAACTTTAAAAAGGAGGGACACAATCCTGTGAAAAACTAAACTCCCCAAGTACATGTAAATCCACAGAACAACAGCAACACTGTTGGAGTGTTCAGCTGGGACTTAAAACAAGCTTTCTTGAGATTCTGCATAGAACTGTGGAAAGCATTTTCATTTAAATAATTGTATTTCTACAAGGCCAAGATTGTGTGGTGATAACAATATTGTAACGCAAACGGACGACATTGGAGGTTGTGCGAGCCGGCTTACCAGCACGGTGACGTCACCGCCCTTCCCTGTGAGTATGCGTTACAATGTGAAATAAATCTGAAAGCAAGTAAAAATCCCCTCAACTCCCAGTACATTTCAGTATTTTGGCGAGCTCCAGCTATAGAAGATCCAGATTGATCTGTGGGCACTATTTGTGTTAATTCCAGATCACACAAACCCACAAGACAAACACACCACTGGGATCAGTTTCAGTTACAATTCTAGCTCTTAAAGCAAATTGAAAACCAACTAGAAAGGCACCAAGGACAAAGAGAAACATATTTCCTTCCCCTGTCAGCAATGTATCCATGTCTGTCTAACCTGAGCAAGATTGTCACCTCTACGTACTGAACACAGAATTCCAGATACACAAATGTCTGTTGTGACACCTTCTACAGCGGCCAATTTAACCCCTGTATAATATGCCCCATTTCCCTCTTATTCAAGCAGGGACAGCAGAGATTATCTAGATGATCAGACTTCTCCATTTGCAGGCAAATGTTTCTGTATTTGCTTTTACAAAGAACCTTAATTTATATTGCAAAATAATTTAACCCAGCACCCACATCTCACAAAGAGTGTGGATGTTTGTTTCAGTTTTCGTCATGATACTAGTGAAATATGTAAGAGTGACAAAAGTCGTCAGACTACTGTTGAAGGAGAGTTCGGGATGCTTTTCCAAAGTATTAGCTGTGTTTTGTTTAAGCAGCTGTGTAGTCTTAGACCTATGACCCCATAGTGACTGCAGGTGAAGATAGGTGAAGAAGGTGAGATACCCAGATAAGACTCTCACTATGTAACATTTACCAATAAATAAAAAAAACATTTCCTGGTTTCAGTTAACATTTTTTTCCCTCAAGAGTCACATGTGCAGTGCATGAGTCATAGTTAAAAAACTAAGAATGCACTTGATTCTTAATATAACATTATATTATTGTTATGTTATTGATATACAGTAACAACATTATATGTCTGACATATTGAATTATTGTTTTTTTAATTCAAGAGGTTCATTATTAATTCATTGTAAAAAGTACAATTCTGTCATTTATTTACATGTACAATTCCAATAATTGTCACAAAAAGTAACCAAGAATAAAGCAGATATTGGTGAGTATTCACATCAGGACACAGTATTTAATACATAAAGAGTAAAACTTTCAGAAAATTCCACATTGCTACAAACTTCATTTTATACAGAGACAAAAATGGTATCTGTGCGGTTATAATCTAAATTAAAAACAAAATTATAATTAACAAATTCTAAACAATATTAAAGGTAGAAGGTCAATTTCACAACCACACACAAACAATAAAGTATGTGACTTTACAAAAGACTCTTTATTTTTAAATACAACACATCACAAAGAACATGCATGTAAAAGTATGCACACCTACATAAAATAAAAATTGCCTATACCTTATCTACAAGCCATGCTTGTACGTAATCTTACAAGAAAAGATATGAAAGGTACAGACAGTGGTACATTTCCAAAATACTGACTTCCAAAAAAAGGCTTGTATCCATTAGAGGTCTCTGTACCGCTGTGCAGTCAGGAAGGGTATTTTTATATTTTACGTGGAGTATCACACATATGATTTGGCTGATGCTGTAGACCTTGGAGCAGAATATTTAAAAGAGTAGGCTTTCTCTTCTTTGTGTGGACAGGTGCTACAAAGCAGGCCCCCTCCAAGGACCAGCAGAACTGAGGCTCCAAAGCCAATGTAGAGGGAAGCGCCAAGCTCTCTTCTCTGGGTATCAGTGAGCAGAGGGTTGTAGAAGTCCCTGATGATGGCGTTGGCAGACCAGCAGACAGGAATCAAGCAGAGGACTCCGGTAGCTATGAAAACTGCACCAGACGCGATACAGGCTTTCCTTTTAGCTTCCGCGTCTTTCAAAAAGTTTGTGCACTTTCCACCAACAAAAGCCAATATGATGCCTATCATGCCCACCGCTATGGCGACCACTATAAGGGCTCGGGCTGCCTGGAGGTCTGTGGGGAGAGCCAGCATGGAGTCGTAGACCTTGCACTGCATCTGCCCGGTGCTCTGCACCACACAGCTCATCCATATGCCTTCCCAGAAGATCTGAGCCGTCACGATGTTGTTGCCGATGAACGCTGTCACCCTCCACATGGGGAGAGCGCAGATGATTACAACTCCGATCCATCCAACAAGAGCCAGCGTCACACCCATTACTTGCATTCCTACGGACGCCATCGTAAAAGTTTGCCCACTTCTTCTTTTTCTGTTGTCTTTAAATTTTGAGATCACCCTCCTGCAGCACAGAGTTTGTGAACGCAGTCCCTCCCGATGTGAGATGTTCAACGAACAAAAACTCACTTGAAAGAAACCAGCTGCTGGTTATATTCTGGCCTGAAAGGGAGGTGGTTACCCTTCTCGCAACTAGAAACCAGCTCCAAGCTAGAAAATTCCAGCTCGACAAGATTCTTTCAAATGTAGCACAATGAAGCCGAGAATGAACTGAGGCAGTCCCTTCATGCATTGAGATCAGTTTACTAGGTTTTGTGTTTCAAAAGATTTTGAAGAATATAAGCTGTACAGAAAACTAGTTATGGAGCCTCTTCATCTCTTTGTTGGGCTTAAACACCTCAACTTATGTGACTTTAACACGAAAAAGTGAATTGTATATAGTGCCTTTCATGTCAAGACAACATTGTACTTTACAGTGGAGGTAACAGTTCATCAACTTTTGAAGTATTTATTTTCTAACCCTGACTTAGTCACTACTTAATAACTATTATGTTGCAATATTGGGTAAAACTAATTTATATACAGGGAGCAGGAGCCTATCCTGAAAAGCAACAGACACAAGGCAGGATATGCTCTGGACAGGCCACCTGTCCGTCACGGACACACTCAGACACAAAGGCCACACTCACTGCAGGACCTTTCCCAGAAGAAAATTAACTACCAGTATGTCTTTGGCTTCCATGAGGAAACTGGAGCACCCAGATGAAACCCACATCACCATAGGAATTGAACTCAGAGGCAGTAGTGCTAACCACTGTGCCGCTGTACCTACGATTTCTATTAACCACTGCTCCATTTCTTACTAAATCTATTTTGTTCTATATGTCATCGAAAAATAGGGGTGATGTATTCGCAGAACAGTCAGCACCACTGCCTCACAGTTCCAGTGTCCTAGATTCCATTTCAGTTTGAGGCACCTGTCTGCGTAAGATCACACACTCTCTAACACACAGGTTAGGTCTGAGGGAAGTGGGGTTCCATGTGGATTTTATACTTCAGTAATTTTTACTGTTTCGACAAGTACTGGTTATGAGACAGAAAAACAGAACCAAATGAGCCTGGTGGGTCCATTGACCTTGTCTCATTTTTGCTCTTTTCTGATGTTAATAATTTTCTCAAAGTGATGCTAACTTACAGCATGTATTTCAGTTTAACATAGCACATCAATGTAATATACAGAATCGTTTGCCTTTAGGCTAATTTATCAAATAAAATAGTATTTAATTTATGTGGGGCACCACAGTGGAGCAGTGGGTAGCAACACTACCTCACAGCACTGGGGCCCTGGGCTCGATTCCTGGGGTGCTATCTGTGTGGAGTTTGCATGTTCTCATTGTGTTCATGTGGGTTTCCTCTGGGTGCCCTAGTTTCCTCTCACACTCCAAAAACATACTGGAAGGTTAATTGGCTTCTGGAAAAAATGGCCCTGTTGTGAGTATGTGTGTATTGATGTCTGTGTGTGCCCTGAGACGGACTGGTGTCCTATCCAGGATGTACCCTACATTGAGCCCATTGCTTGCTGGGATAGGCTCTGGCTCCCTTGTGACTCAGAATTGGAAGAAGTGGTTAGAAAATTCCTGTAATGTTCCTTTGTTGAATTGTTTCTGTATGTTGCATCCAGAAACCTTGCAAAAACATTACAAACGTTATATCATTTGGCATAAAACTTTCATTTAATAATATGTCAGTGTAACGAATAACTAGAAGATAACATGCAAAACTACATTACTCTTGGATGAGGTCAGAACTGTTTTTTTCCAAAAGCAGTTGAACCGGTTTGTTAGGTATAAGCAACAAGGTGTAACAGACTTGCAAAGCACGTTTTTAGCTATCATTTTTATAGGGAAATCCTGCAACTGTGCATCATGCATTTTCTTGCCTACAGAGGAATGACAATTGAGATTTTGTGTAAACGTTTCATCAGTATCATTCTTCAAATTTCACATTTAAATCATTTTTGATAAGAAGCCTACCTACACAGTTTACATGGCTGATACAAATATGCATTCACAAACACTTACTATAAAAAAATAACTTGGAGAAAACCTAGTTTTTTTTTTTAAATGAAGCTTTAATCTTTCTCCTCAAAATCATAAATACAGAAGGTACATTAACATTGGCTAAAAACATCAAATGAGCAGCTTACTGTTTAGAATGGATATATGATAAGAAAATGCTAAGACAGTTCAAGACCAGAAAAATGATTCCCAAACGTTTTACCTAAAATGTCAAAAGATATCCAACAGAAGAGAATCATTGTGAACATCCTTTAAGTGTTTAAATGTATGTTACCATTAGTAGGTATTCTTTTATCAATACATATTTATGATTAAAATAAAAATATCATACAAGGAAGTGCTGAAGGAAATGACTATCTTAGGTTCCGACACAGAAACTAAACATTCTTTGCTTTTTCTATTTGCACCCTACTTCCATTCACTTTCACTGTGTGCCGATTTAAAGTAAAACACTTCGGGACAAATCAGTTTCCTCAGGCTTTCATTGTTTTTTGTCTTTCAGGTTGCAGAAAACAACATAACTAAACTTGTCCAAAATCATCATGATTCCTGTCTCAATCCGCAGAACACATGTAGTTTAAAGCATAAAAAAACAGTCCTGTCGATAATACCATCTCTTACAAACAACAATGTATTATCTTCACATTTACAACCGTGACAAAAGGAGGACAGAAGTGTTGCTGCACAAGAAACGCAGTTAAGATTAACACAGCTCAGCATCAAGATGAGTACAGTTCATGTTTCTTCTTATGCACTTAAAATGTCTTACACGTAGGCTTTGCTAGTCGCTGCAGACCTTGCTTGGGAGTACTTGACAGGGTATTCATCCTCATTTTTGGGTGGACAGGAGCTGCAGAGCAGACCTCCTCCAAGAAGCAGTAGAGCTGCGGCTCCCCAGCCGATGTACAGTGAGGCTCCGAGCTCCCTTCTCTGAGCTTCAGTGAGCAGGGGGTTGTAGAAGTCTCTGATGATGGTGTTGGCAGACCAGCAGACAGGGATCAGACAGAGCACCCCTGCGATGACGAAGATAACGCCACTTGCAATAGCTACTTTGGCTTTGGACACCTCATCCTCCATGAAATTGGTGCACTTTCCACCAACGATGGCCAGCAGGATGCCGAACACAGACACCACAATGGAAATCACAGTCAGGGCTCGGGCTGCCTGGAGATCCTGGGGAAGAATTAGCAGAGAATCGTAGATCTTGCACTGCATCTGCCCCGTGCTCTGCATCACACAGTTCATCCACAGCCCTTCCCAGATGATCTGGGCCGTCACGATGTTGGCGCCGATGAAAGCCGTCACCCTCCACATGGGGAGAGCACAGACTACGATCACTCCAAGAAATCCAATCATGGCCAGAATAAGGCCGAGCATCTGCCTCTTGACCGACACCATCGCTGCGTCTTTCCTTCTTACTGCACTTCGGCTAAAAAATAATACACCTGCTGCTGCTGGTGTCTCCGTCTGTCCAACAGTATTTCACAGGTATACGATGAAAGGATGTGATCAACTAGTTATAGTCTTTCGCGAGGGGTGGAGCTTTCGCTCTTCGTCCCCTGAAACTTGCTCTCGATCAAAAATTCTGGTCTAGCGAGATTCTTCCAGTTCTCAGCACAGAAAGGCACAGGGGAATGTAATCAGGTTTCGGTCCAGCTACACCTTAGCCTCCAAGGGTTCCAAATATTTGAAACCGGTCAGTCTATTGACAACAAGAACGACCTTTTCATTCCATTGTCACACCTGTAGAGCTACTCAGACCTGTTTTGCTGCAGAAGAAAGCCAATACAAGTTCAAATGTAACACCTAGAACAGTTCAAAACCCAAGGCTCTGTTAAGTACATTTTACTGCATTATATGTGAGAGTTCAGCTTTTTAGCAGACTTTTTCAGGACTTTTGCATGCTGAGTGGAAGGCCATCATTTGTTTTAACGATGAATAATTTTAGCTGCAAGGATTTTCTTGCTATTACCTTCTTTTTCCCATTTCTCAGGTTTTGGACGCAGTCCTCTTTAACTTACAAGCTCCTGCTTTGAATACAAAACCTGAAGCAACGCCAGTGTCTCTGGAAGAATGCGGATCACCAGACAAAACACATAACAGAGCATTGTGAGGCAAGGAGTCAAGAGAAAGGGAGATGGGGAATGATTTGAATACAAATTGTTGAATCGAAAACGCTTGCCACTGAGGTATTTTTCATAGAAAGAAATGTGTAGACCAAATGCAAGTTCAGATGACCACTGAACAAGACAACTACAATTTCCAAGGAGATTTAACATGAGTCTAGACATGTTAGAATTGTTATAATGTTATAATTATAGAACAGAGATAAATATTGCTTGGTGTATAGGCAGCACATATAACTAATTAGCTGGACATCCAGATATAAAGCAATTACTGTGCCTACCTAAGTACTTTGGTAGAATATTATCACTAACAACCTCAATGATACATCAAACTACAAAGACAAGATTTACGCAATAAAATGTTTTATTAACAGATACATTGAAAACCGTATAAAACACTTGAATTTGTACATGAGATAGAATAAAGTAAAATATGGAGTGCAAAATGTGTTAGAACATTCATAAAAACAGTACCTATACAGTTTTTACTGGATATATCTTACAGCTACAGATGACACCTTTGTCATGAATATAATTGATGTAAGAATCTTAAAAATGACCAAATGAAATTTACTTTTTAAATTCTCTCTGAACACTTTACATGCTTTACATGTATAATTTTTATACAATTATAACGTGTGTCACATACTGTATTCTCATATTGTTTTTAATTAAGGTTCACGTTCAAAGCCATCTGTCTGTATTGTTCTCACATACAAAAGAAACTCGTCAGTTCTAGAATGCTAGACCCCAGATTCAGAGCAGAAGTCATTTATCAAACAGCTGACCTCAATGCAGAAGAAAACAAACGCAGACATCAATAACAGTCGTAATTTAACGTAATTTACACATGTAATGTGATTTTCTGGATTGCTGTCCTGCCCAGAACATAATCCTGCCCCATGTTTTCAGGATTGTCTCCAGGGTACCCCAACTCTTGGCTTTCTGCGCATGGATTGATGTCAATCCTTTTGTAAAACACAGTTCCCTGATCTTAAAGTTATAATGATTCTAAAGACCAGTGGAAATGCCATATGAGAAGCAAAAGTGCAAGACATAGGAAATACATCTATTTTTATCATTTTGAATATTTTACAAATACGGACCAGTTGGTGGTTTTGGCATGTATGACCCAACATATTGTCTGTTTGGTCCATATTGTCTGTACTGTACATTTGGTCCATATGGGTGGTTGGTTACAATAGATCCTGTTTGTGAATACCTGGCACTGTAGGGTTGATACCGGTACCTGTCGTCTTGGGGTGGACAGGTGGTACAAAGCACAGACCCTCCAATTAACAGAAGACCCGAAGTTCCCCATCCAATGTAAATTGCAGCGCCAAGTTCCCGTTTCCCAGAACTGATAAGCAGAGGATTATAGAAGTCACTGATGATAGTGGCGGCAGTCCAGGAGACTGGGATCAGACAGAGAACCCCAGAAATTATACAGATGACTCCCCCGGTAATGACAAGCTTTGCTTTTGATGATTCGTTTTCCATGTGTCCAGTGAATTTTGCTCCTAGGAGAGCAACGAAGATGCCGAGGGCACCCACTACAATAGAGATAACAATCAGGGCTCGGGCTGCCTGGAGGTCCTGGGAGAGGACCAGCAGAGAGTCTTGGATCTTGCACTGCATCTGCCCCGTGCTCTGCATCACACAGTTCATCCACAGGCCATCCCAGATGATCTGAGCCGTCACGATGTTAGCTTGGATAAAAGATGTCACTCTCCACATAGGAATAGCACAGACTATGATCACTCCCAGAAATCCAACAATGCACAGAACTAGGCCCACGATCTGCCTCGCGATGAGCCCCATTGAAATGTTTTCTCCTTCTCCAGCACCGCGAGCTGCTGGTGTCTACCTAACAAAGCGCCTTCAGTATTTTCAACTTCTAATTATATGCTTTTACAAAGGGAGGGGTTTGCTCTCGCCCTGTTGTAGAGCAACAGGATTCCAGACCAACAAGATTCTTTCTGTTCTCAGTGCTGTGTGACGGAGAGGGGAATGTAGTCGGGGCAGTGGAGATAGGTCAACTACACACCTGGATGTTCAAAGTCTTGCAGGAAAAGTGAGCTGACTGGTGATAACATGACTGCCTGGGTTGTTTTATTGCAAGACCTGTATTGCCACACAGACTGGCTTTGCAGCGAAATCAGAATGGCCACAGATTCCAAAGTAGCCATCAGAAAAGATTGCATTAGTCTAATGGAGTACATTGTACTGGTGTTTGTTGGTGCATGTTGGTGCACAGACATAAGACTTTTTTTCTGATCGTAATTCCAATACAATGTTGTTCTGGACAAAATAATGTAACGTGCAATGTGTCTGGACATTAAAGCTTTAAGATAAAAACAGCAAAGTAGTAAATGAAATTTATTTTCATTTTTAAATGAAATTTAATTTAAAACAACACTTGGAATGCACACAAGTCACGCTAATAATTACAGCACACTGGAGAGCAGGGTAAGGTACCACTGCGTTTAGTCCTCATGTTTTGAACGAAAAATAAACATGCATGAGGCAGAGGTGTTATCTGAGAAAACTGAACTTCAAAAGATAGTTGTGGGTGTATGTAGGCCAACAGGGACAAAGCAATCTGAGTGAGAATGTACTATTAATAACATTGAACAGATTGCTGCCATTTTCTCTCACTGTGAAGCACAATACATCTAGCTTTGAAAACATTAAAAGCATGCATAAAAGTCTGTTGATGCACAAGGTACATCTACTGACACGAACTAGTAATCTTCAACAGAATCAAATGACAGCATGTATTAAGATTAATTCAGCAGTTAATAGTAGGGACAACCCTACAGTGAAATCAAGAGTGTGAGTTTGCTCCCCTCTGCCACTTCATCCCTGCTTCTCTAGAGCCATTTGAAGCACAGCTAAAGATTGAGAACATGCAGTAAATCTATTTGTAACTATAGACGAGTCTAGCGTCAGTTCCCTACTGTAGAGCACCTGTGGGCTAAAGCTTTCTTTGCAAACCAGAGATTAGCTCCCCAGTGATAATGAAAACCAATAAAAGACGTTATAGAAAAAAAAAACATAGGTCCACATCTTACTGGGTAACACTAGCTCTTAGCAGAAGAAATCCCGACTGATTATAGTACGAAGTGTTGGCAAAAGGGAAAACATTCCAATACTCTTATAGATAACATAACCAAGAACCTCGTGGAAATGTTTCGCCGCTCCGAGCCCTTTGTAACAAATCGTGGGACTATCGATGGAAAAAGTATAATTGTTTTATTCAAATCCGTCTAAATGCAGACATTACCTCCACCTAGTTCAGCGTCGAGCTGTAATTTGAAAAGAGTAACGAGCAAGGACGTTCAAGGGCGATAACCAAAATATATTGAGGAAGTGAGCGGAAAGCCCTTGTAACAGTGACCCCCGCAGTCCACAGAAATCGATGTGGGAGTAAGCGTTTATAGCAAACCGTTAAAGTTTGGAACCGGAGGAAACTAAACCAGGTAAAGAGCGACTGTCAGAACAGGGCGGTGCCAGCATACTCCACACGCTCTTAATGAATATTACAAGGACCAAACACCTTAAGTTAAAGGCACTCTAGAATAAAGTACTGCCGTTGTAAAAGGATGGTGAATACACTGCAGGCTGGTATGCCTAGCTACCCTTCCCCCCCCCAACCAGTTTTAAAGCATCTGAGAACACGCAACCAGTGAGGTGATATGTTAAAAGCACGGCAACAATCGATCATTGAGGGCACTCCCGCTTTTACATATATCTAACCGGTAAAGTAAAAACCCCCCACCGGCTACTTGGAGAGTAGAAAGAAAAAGTAGAGAAGAGTCCCCCCCGCACAGTGAGGTCTAAACCTCGATGCTCAAGTTTAGATAACGTTAAGTGGAAGTAGAGGAAATAAGTCAATTCATTAAAATTGAATTTTATTGCATTTCTCAACCTTGACTAAAAGCTAGTTTAAAACACTTTACAAAACTCCAAGAAAGTCCAGCACAATAAAAAAAAAAAAGGGCACACCAGGAACGTCCACCTGAATTTGGTGTCAGTCTGCAAACCAGCGGGGAGATGGAAACCGGAGCCTCTGCGGCACGCCTGCCAGATACCAGGTCTATGGGGGGGGGGGATTCCGTCTATTTATTCAATTTTCCCCCTCGTGGCTTTACACATAAGCCCCTCCAGTAGCGTTGGACCTTGCTGCAGAATATTTGGCGATGTACTGACGGTCCTTCTTCGGGGGACAGTGGCAGCACAGCAGTCCTCCTCCGACGAGAAGGAGCCCCGCGGCTCCCCAGCCAATGTAGAGGGAAGCGCCAAGCTCCCTCCTCTGGGCATCGGTCACCAGAGGGTTGTAGAAGTCTCTGATGATAGTGTTGGCGGACCAGCAGACGGGGATCAAGCAGAGAATCCCCGAAACGATGAAGAACAGCCCGGATGCGATGCCGATCTTGGCTTTGGTCGATTCCTCCTCCACGCAGTTGGTGCACTTGCCCCCGGCCACCGACAGCAGGATGCCGAAGATCGCCACCAGCACGGAGATGACGACCAGGGCTCGGGCTGCCTGGAGGTCTGTGGGGAGAGCCAGCATGGAGTCGTAGACCTTGCACTGCATCTGCCCGGTGCTCTGCACCACGCAGTCCATCCACAGCCCTTGCCAGATGATCTGGGCCGTCACGATGTTGCTGCCGATGAAAGCCGTCACCTTCCACATGGGGAGAGCGCAGATGATGATGTCTCCAAGCCACCCGATCACCGCCAGCGAAACTCCCAAAATCTGCAGCCCCACAGACACCATTATAAAAGTGGGTTTTTACCCTCCCTGATTCCTTAACGATTACTAATAAGTTTTCCTTGGAAGTGCCCACAACAGCAAGCGCCTCTGCTGTGGTTTATATACCCCCTGAAGGGGCGTGGTTGTTAATCATTTAAAATTAGAAACGTCCGGTGAAGTTAATTGTTTGGGGCCACCACCTGCAGTTTTCTTTTGTTCTGTGAATATTAGGATTAGGACAAAATGGTTGTGGCCGCCCTGCCCTTGATAAATTAAAATCATTTTGCCTTTTGAAAATCAGCATCACACCCGTCAGTGGTTTAATCGCCCTACAAACATTTCACGTTTTTATTTCTACTTTTTAGTGCTATTGTCCTCCCAGTGATCGGAAACAAGCTTTCATTTCTTTATATTGAAACATTCATGCATGACTCTATCCACTTGTCTTTTAATACATAATTATAGAGCCCGTATCATTGATGTTTACATGAAGTAATTCATTTCAAAAAGTTCAATAATCTAATTTAAATAATTTTAATATGGTTATGTTTGTATTTATGTGAGTGTATATGGTTCGTTTGCAAATTAGAGGAGGACACTCGGACCATGATTAGTTCGATTGTTAGCAGCTAATTGATCCCACGACCTCATCTTGCAGTTTCTTAAAAGACTGAATGGTATTGGTTTCATTAGCAAGAATGGGCACCGTGTATCCAGACTCACTTTCCACAGCACTTTGTGTAGAGACGTGTCCCGCTGTTCTCATTTTTAACCGCAGATCTCTAGTTTCAATGTGTCCTCTGATGAGTGCTTGATGATTGATTTTGATGACATTCATACGGTTAATGTTGTCCAATTAGAAAAATAGCATTTGTGCGACTGAATATACCTATATGCTATGAACTACTATTCAAACTCGATTAAAGACAGATGTAAATTGCGGCAATTCATATTTTTTTCAGATCATGTAAACTTCACAACGCTGAGAGACAGAACCGTCTTTATAGATGTTTACATACCATTTATACATACATTTATACATACCAGTATAAATGAGCAAAGACAACTATTTCGCCCGTATAAGAACAAATTCATAATATTGGGCATTAATTGATAGCGACTGCTTGTTTTTGAAATAATCCGTCACTGTGAATTGTGCTCCTTCCAAGATTAAAAATAATATAATAATAACAAGTAATAGGTTTATTCCATGCTGAAAAAAAGAAGAAAGAGAACACAACGTTTCGGCCGTGGAGCCTTCTTCAGGTGTGGATATAATAATAACGCCCAACAGTTGTATACAGTAAATTAGTGTCAAGTTGCTTTTTTACACAAATTCTCCTAAATACAGTAATCATCTCTATCAACACGTGGAAGTATAAACGTAAGATAGAAACGAATTATCCATCCATATAATAAATAATCTAGCACTTTAAAACTTAATTTCTCAAAGCGCATTCTTATACATATTGCATAAGAAATCATTTAATTAACAGGCAGCCCCCAATTTATATACCGTATTAGAGTTATGAAGTATGAATTGTACCAAAGTTAAAACAATCCTACTTTCATTTAGTTTTGACTAATGATTATTCGTTGGTTAATGAGTTGCGACGGGTTTCTTTTTCATTGTATCAGTTAAATCATATTCTAATGTAGTTTTTGAGTATCCACGGAGTGATTCCTTTAAAATCCAAAGTAACTTAATCCCGTTATTTTTGTACAGGTAGCGCTGTGACTAAATTCTAAACACCCCCGGGCATCAATTACTTTCACCATTTGCTCATGTTTAAAACGCAATACATTTCAGTTTATGATTAGTTCTGTGCGGAATTTCGCAGAAATTACATTGAATGTAAAAATGTTAATATTCTGACTTTGACTTTAATGGGCATCTATAAATTAATGCTTTAATGCCCAGACAGGGCGCAAGTAAAACACTCAGGAAAGGCATTTTGTCCTTCTGGCAAACGGATTACGGAATTGGAGTAAATAATTTGGGTTAAAAGTCTTTATTACTATACTTTTTAGAAGTACAAGAAAAACAATGGGATCTTCTAAAAGGGTTCGTCTTTCTCTGTATATAATGTGGTTGACTATACCTCACTTTTTACTATAATTAAGGAAATAATCAGCAATTTACAAAAAATGAAGCACAGTACATTTTACAAATACGTTTTGATACATCGAAACAGCGTGAGGTGTTCAGCGAATATTTGAACATTTCTTTCTACAGTGGAAAACTTTGAAACTATAGTTGAACCGTTTACTGCGTCACCCCAAAATCATCAAGGCAGACTGAGATGGACATCGAAAAGTAATAGACTTTATTACAAAACCCTAACTAACGCTTTATTACAACATGTTTCTTTTACTTACATAGAGACTTTAGTAACAATCTCAGCTACAGCTGTAAATACAATTCGGTAGTTGAAGGCGGAAAGTTCGAACAAAAGACAATGAGGCTCAAGTAAAAAATATATATAAACGTCTATTAAAGCTGCTTCAGACATATTCCCTTCCCACAGCGGTAGACCTTGTAGCAGAATAGGCAGCGGTGTACGGGCGGTCGCCTTTGGGACACTGAGAGCACAGCAGTCCTCCTCCGAGGATGAGGAGCCCCCCGGCTCCCCAGCCAATGTAGAGGGAAGCGCCAAGCTCCCTCCTCTGGGCATTGGTGATCAGAGGGTTGTAGAAGTCTCTGATGATAGTGTTGGCGGACCAGCAGACAGGGATCAAGCAGAGAATCCCCGAAACGATGAAGAACAGCCCGGATGCGATGCAGATCTTGGCTTTGGTCGATTCCTCCTCCACGCAGTTGGTGCACTTGCCCCCGACCACCGACAGCAGGATGCCGAAGATCGCCACCAGCACGGAGATGACGACCAGGGCTCGGGCTGCCTGCAGATCCTGGGGGAGAGCCAGCATGGAGTCGTAGACCTTGCACTGCATCTGCCCGGTGCTCTGCACCACACAGCTCATCCACAGCCCTTCCCAGATGATCTGGGCCGTCACGATGTTGTTGCCGATGAAAGCCGTCACCTTCCACATGGGGAGAGCGCAGATGATGATGTCTCCAAGCCACCCGATCACCGCCAGCGAAACTCCCAAAATCTGCAGCCCCACAGACGCCATCAAGATATGCGATTCCTTGGGCTTTGTTTCCTGTGCGCTAAAAAACCCCTAATTTCCTCCGAAAGCGGTTTCTCAGAAGTGATTTGTTTTCAAATATAAAGGGTACCCCCTCAAAGGGCGGAGTTTGGACCCTATTACGTCCGGTGATAATTAACTCATTCAGCTGAATAGTCCATCTTGGTTTCGGTTCTTTTGTTCAGCAGACAATACAACTGGGAAAGGGACCACTGTGTGAAACTGAGAGGCCAATATTATCTAAGGAACAGGTAAAGGTTTGTTCCATGCTAAAAGGAAAAAAGGAGACACAATGTTTCGGCTATGGAGCGTTCTTCAGGTGTCAATATCATCTTCATCCATTCACATTCAAACCCTTGTGCGTTGAATTTGTGCTTAAAACACCTTAGGTCCCAGTTTTTGATTATTAATTTTTCACTGCTGAAACGATTCCTTAAAAAGGCAGTAAATATGCTTTCTAAAATGTTAACTATTACTACAACTCAGCTCCAATTACTTCTTAAAAAGTTCAATTTGCGTTACAATGATTTTTTGTTGGTGAAGGCTCATACACCATTTTTTAAACCCTACGTTTCCCCTTTCTTCTGCCTATTTGTTATGTGTGTGTTATGGATATGTAGCTTTACTTATATGTGTTATTAAAGTAATGAGTACTTATTTTCTTATTATAGGTAAACGGGATACTTTGTCCATCAGTAATATTCTAGTATACGTGGATTCTCTGGGAGACATATTCTTTCTCATGTGTTGTGCTATTAATTAATTTTTAGATACTTTATAGCTAACTCAGACAGCTGACAGCAAAAACATAGCTCTTCTTACATTCGTGTAAATCATAAACCTACTTTCCCCACGAAATATCTCCTTGCACCTCCCCCAAGAAGGACACGACGATGAGAAAAACTAACAACAGCAGGGAAATAATTACAGGAGTTCACACCGGGTTGCCCAGGTTTCTGCGCAGAAACTGTTGCGCACTGGACGCTGTGTAGATTTCCAACACTTAAATTACAAAACGGATCCTACCACAGAAATTGTGACATAATGTCTACTCAAGTCTTTCTGGTGATTTTGTTAACCTCCTGTACTCTCGTTGTACTGTTCAAAGGTCACAACAAATAGGAGAGGTTATCAAAGCTAGCTGGAGCACTTTCCTATAGAGAGAAAACGTGAAAACACTACACCATAGTCTCTTTCAATTGAAATCAGCCTGAGCATCTAATGCAACGTCAGCTTTTAAAACGTTTAAAAGTAGTTATATGCGACATCTTAAATTACACAGGCTAAACTAGCTAAAAACTAGGTAACATTTGAAGCACACATTCAGTGTTTAAATCAGATTGCGTACCACCTCAATACAGGCTAAATGTCAGTGTCATATTCTTTGACAAGACCTTTCTGACGTCATTTTTGCTGAAACCGTCGGCAACAAGAGGAACTAAGTATTTCAGGAGTTTCAAGAGGAAAGCAGTTCAACGTACACCTCAAGGAATTAAGATGCTTAAATCCAATTGGGATGTTTCCATAATTCATCAAATATATTAGGATTAAAACGTTTTTATATCACTTTAATAATACACAATGTTTTTTAAAAAGGATAATTTTAACAGTGTGTGAACTGTGTGAAAATAAAAAGAGATCACTTAAAATCCATGTTAGATCCAGTAGCGCTCTTGAGTGAAAAATGGAGGTTGGAAATGCCCTGCAATGTCTTGTCGAAACAGAATAATTTAAATAAGTCATATTCACTGTCAAAACCTTCAAAATAAGATAAACGTCCTCAAACAAAGCAGAGAACCTGTTAGACAAATGACAGGTGTAAACAGAACAATGCGTGGTTTTCTTTTCAAGGCTGTTGTTCACGCGTTGCAATTTATGTCCAGTAAACACAAAGATAACCGGTTTTACAACCAGCACCGAGAGATGCACTTTCCAATGCCATTTTAGAAGGTTCCGCTCTTTGACCTTGGATGTTCAAACAAAGCTAAATTAAAATAATATGTTTAAAAATAGAGCGGTGCTAAATAAACCAGCAATATATGTCGAATTTTCTTTCTTTAAGGAGACAATTGATAACCTTACGTAAACTGTTTACTTTAAAACTGAGGATTCGATGTTACCCTCCAGTAAGGATGAAAACAATTAAGTTTCCAGCCTTGCGGGCTATTGAGTTCACATAATGCATTTATTTCCCTGAAAGCAACCAGCTTTCCATCCTTTCAAGGCAACCACGTCTCCCTGTAAGTCCACAAAGAAAAGGCAGTGCGATAAGAAAAAGTCATTCCGATTTTTTATTGCAAGATTTTAAGCTGTAGTTTTCCAAATAATTAAATGTTTCCTTAAAACCAAACCCATCAAGTAAAATAAATGGAATGAAATACACAAATGAAGGAGCAAGATTACTTGAACTTGCAAAAACCAACTTTACTAGAATAAAGCAGGTGTCCTCAAAATGATCCATTCAATAATATCGCAATAGAAGAGTTGATTTCTTTCAACAATACATATGCTTTGCCTGCTCAGCTATAAGATTTAAAAAGAGACAACTTATGAAAAGGGCACAAAGGTCCCAAAAATATCAGTTTCAGCTACGTGGCATAAGGGATCTGGAAAAGACAGAAATAGCTCTATTCAATGCTTCAAAGTCCTTACACATAGTTCTTAGATGTGGCAGTAGACTGCACTGGGGTGAAGCGACCCCGGTAATTTTGATTTTCTTTGGGAGGACAGTTCCAGCAGAGCAGACCTCCTCCAAGAAGCAGAAGAGCTGCGGCTCCCCAGCCGATGTACAGTGAGGCTCCGAGCTCCCTTCTCTGAGCTTCAGTGAGCAGAGGGTTGTAAAAGTCTCTGATGATGGTGTTGGCGGACCAGCAGACAGGGATCAGACAGAGCACCCCTGCGATGATGAAGATAACGCCGGAGAGGATGCAAACTTTGGCTTTAGTTGCCTCATCTTCTATGCAGTTGGTGCACTTGCCTCCAGCAACAGATAGCAATACTCCCACGATGCCCACCACTATAGAAATCACGATCATGGCCCGAGCCGCTTGGAGATCCTGGGGAAGAATTAGCATTGAGTCGTAGACCTTGCACTGCATCTGCCCGGTGCTCTGCACCACACAGTTCATCCACAGCCCTTCCCAGATGATCTGGGCCGTCACGATGTTGGCGCCGATGAAAGCCGTCACCCTCCACATGGGTAAAGCACAAACAATTATGACCCCAAGCCATCCAATCATGGACAGAGTAATTCCCAAAATTTGGATTCCTACCGATGCCATCACAAGACTTGTTTCTCCTTGGCTGTATGCAAAAGACCTTTTGGATGTATTTGTCCTGGTGAGCACTTTCCAAGTGTTCGGTAAAACGATATGACCGCGTATTTATACACTTTTTGAATGGGTGGGGTTGTAGTTCATGCAAACAAAGAACAGTAGTAATTCGAGATCATATGGGTCTTTTTGTTTTGTTTCCCAGCACAGTGAAACAGGTGACCTCAAACAGCGCGGATGTACTCTGACGATTCTCTCCCAAATGGAATGGTTTTAAGAAGAATAAAAGCTATGCAGGTTTGGGCCTCTCACCATGTCTTAGATGTGATATTAATTTAGTTTTACCACCAGAGGGTCAAAGTTTTCAATTTGAATGTTTCAACCAGTCTGAAATGTATACTTAATTACAAATTTCTTTTTAAGGCACTTTGCTGTGAGAAATTCTGACCCTAACTTTAGCTTTACCCTAACGTAAGTAAATCAGTAATATATTAGTTTAAGTCGTTCAGGTGGGTAGCTGCGTCAGCATGCGTAGGCTGCAAAGGAACAAGTTTCTTTTTTGAAGAAGGCCTCACACCTGAAGAAGGCTCCACGGCCGAAACGTTGTGTTCTTTCTTCTTTTTTTCAGCATGGAATAAACCTATTACTTGTTACTTTATTAGTTTAATGCAATTTGATTCATGTTTATGAGGTGAACTAACAAAGAAATCTGAGATCTGAAAAATATGCTCTAATTCCCTGCTTTGCTGACAATTAATTACTCGCATGCCTTACATTTATAGATCTCTTTTCTTCCTGAAGGATCCTGAGGTTTCAGCCATTATGCTCCAGCAACCTCAACTGCTGATCCAACAGATCAGACAGAGAAGAGAGGAACTGCTCCACCACGTGAACTAAAGTATTGCAAATATCCCATGTTTAAAGCATTTTTTAAATGTTTTATTTCAAATTATAATTGAATTGCAGTGCTTTAGTAGTCTAAAGATTAATTAAAACATAAAAACAATTAATAATTCTAGATTTGCCATTAAAATCACTTGGTGTAAAATTATCATTTTAAAGGCGAAGATGCTCAAATCTATGTCCATATTAAACCTGACACTGAAGAGGCTGTCTCTGCACTAACTGCATTTCTGACATGAAAACATTGATGACTCAAAAATTCCTTGATTTAAACTGCGACAAGACTGAAGTCTTTACAGCACCTCCCATCAAGTATGTTAAGCCAATGCAGTAACCCTATCTGTGGATGGTACTGTACTTGAATTTCAATCTCAGCTAAAGAACGTGTAGGTGATATTTGATCCAGGGTTGATGATTTAGCCACATGTGCAAAATAATGGAGTTTATTTAACTAAAGTTCGGGAGGGATGACAACAACGACGCTCAATCATATAATAAATACCAAATGCGATATCTCTCTCCCTCTCGTGCGACTTTTGCATCCCACTTCCACCCCAACTCCACCTCTGCAGCTGCCCCTTGGTTACCTCGCAGGGGGGGGTCCTGGCCTCCTCGTCCTACGGCAAGGAGGTCGGCCCTCAGCCCAGCGGGTTAAGCCAAAGATTCACTCCACAATAGTTCGTTACGCTTCGATTTTGGGACATTGCCATTCCTCGTGAATTTCAAATATTTCATTCTTCCACCTCAGAAATATCATCAGAACACATCCTATGTTGTCGCTAATTGTTGCTGAAAAGCTGATCAACCCTTATGTCTTCTCTCAAATTGATTACTGTAACATTTCAGGGAGTCACCTTCCCTGAGCCCTTTCAAATCTAGACTCAAAGCCTTCTTCTTCAGGGCTTTTATTTAACCCTTTAAACCCTTAGTGTAGTTATGTATTTCTGCTGTCTCCTCTCATTGTGTGCCTTTTTTTTCTTACTGTTAAGTGCTTTCTTAAGGTACTTGTAAAGGCACTATATGAAATAAAGTTTACTATTACTTTTTAATAATTACAATAATAATTATAATAAATCTGAATTCAGCTCTGAGGAGGTAGGCTGGCATAATAAACAACACTGCACTAGACTTCCGGAATGTGCATATTTACTATCATGACAACAATGAACCAGGTCTTCAGTTCCGCAAGAGGAATTCCAACATGTTACGGCAACACTGTCTAGACAAGCACTGACAAGCCCAACTGACAAACCATCTAAAAAAAGATTGAGCATGGGACAGGAGTTTAGCTATTCAGGAATGATTGCCTACATTATATTATAGTTCAGGTGGGTAGCTGCGTCAGCATGCGTAGGCTGCACAGGAACAAGTAATAGGTTTAATCCATGCTGAAAAAAAGAAGAAAGAAAACACAACGTTTCGGCCATGGAGCCTTCTTCAGGTGTGATACGTGATAATACATTATATTATGCTAGACCTCACATATAACTGAACATCATGTGTTACCTGGTTATCTAAAAATATTTATGACCTTTATATTTAAAAATGTATATGGGATAAAAGCACCCGAAATCTGTTGTGGCTAGTTTGCTTTTGTTATTGAGTGGACGGCATCTAGAAGGCATCTATTTTCACAAAACATATGGCAAACCCAAATTTTACAAATGGGAGGGGCCAGGGTGAAATAAAAAAAAATCTTCCCATTGCAAAGTTCCTGAGTGGGGACTGAGCCACACCCAGGTATTTTCAACTTTCCTAGGAAACCTTCTTAGGAGGTGCACAGCATTACCTGCAAGACTCTTGGTCTGGAAGGCTTTGTTTAACAATTACCAAATAAATCAAATACTGTTTTTATATTCTCCTGTCTATACATTATTTTACTATGAATGTTAAACATTTAATACAGAAGGGTATGTGTTCTCATTTTTCCTCTTTATGTATTTGTGCAGTTAAAAAGGAGAAGAAAACTAAGCCCAACTGTCTTTCATCAAAGACATTTTGTTTATTTTCTGTATGTGGGTGTAAATTCCAGTATTTATCCTTAGGATTTTAATATTGCCTTTTGTACTAATATATTTCAATGCTGAAATAATGTGACACCATAGAAGCACAGATATAAAGTACAAAACAATTTATTTACAATGTGTATTGTATCATGTCACATGTTAGATATTCAAATAACAAATTATAGTGTAATTATTAGCAGTATGTGTACATAAAACATATTTCCACATTAGTCAAGGCTTTTCAAGCAAGCCAAGACAATGACATATACAGACTTGAAAATGCTTAACAAATTATAAAAGCTTCCAATCAATAGATGTTCACAATAGTTCACAATTTTTTTTTTCTCCACAGAATCCAATAGGACACTTTTAGCAAAACATGAAGGTTTTGTCTCCCTTTACAAACATATTCACTCCAACATTATAAACCGTTGCATACATGTACAACAAAATTTAACAAAAAGTTTAAAAACAAAATTCTCTAGCAATCTTTCAGTAGCACTTTTGTTCCATCCACAGAAAATCTATATTCGTCTGTTTGTCCAGACAGAGTTGCAAAGTGAACACACGACCGTTAACACTTACAGTATGTAAACCTTTCTTCAGTATGTGAACAGGTCTACTGTGCCAGTTTCAAACAGCGGGAACATAGCAAAAGTCCAAAACGAAGTCCTTTAACTCTTTTCATATCCTGATTCTCCTTTAAACATAGTCCTTAGTTGTTGAGGCAGGGTTTCTTGCAGCAGAATATTTTGCAGAGTAGGATGGATCTTTTGGTGGACAGTGGCAGCAAAGCAGAGCTCCCCCAATGATCAGCAGGGCAGAAGCTCCCCAGCCGATGTACAGGGACGCACCAATCTCCCTCTTCTGTGCCTCGTTCACCAAGGGGTTGTAAAAATCTTGGACGATTCTGTTGGCGGTCCAACAGGCAGGAATCAGGCAGAGGAGCCCAGAAACAATGAAGACCACACCTGCGGCGATGCCGATCTTGGCTTTGGTCGACTCATCTTCCACGCAGTTGGTGCACTTGCCGCCGGCCATGGACAGCAGGATGCCCATGACGCCCACGATGATAGATATCACCATGAGGGCTCGTGC